CTTGATGGGAACCTCCTTCAGTTTCATAACTTGAAAAATAAACAAATAAAGCTTGGAAAAGATTTACCGAACTTTTTTTTTTTTAATCCTCCCCATCCTCGCCGTTAAGGCTATACGGGGTTTTCCCGGGCCAGGGGGTGTGGACTGGAATTGAAAAGACTCCCTCGGCACCGGGACGGAAACTCGTGGCTAATTTTTATATCATTTTTGCCCGGCAACCGAATATATGGGATTTAAAAAAGTATGAGTTCGCGTCCCGGTACTGGAGGGGATTTTAAATTCTCTCCGCCTTCACCCTCCCGCCCGGGAAAATCTCGTATAGCCTAAAAGGCGAGGTAGGGAAAGATAAGAAAAAAGGAAAAAATACCAGAGGCTAATGGCTCTAATATTCTCTCTTATGTATGTTTGAAGGAAGATTCGCTGATATGTACAAGGTGGTGCAAAAAGAATAACTGCTTTTGAAATAAATAATGCTTCTAAGACTATTCATATATATCTTCTTATTTTTTTTATTTATATGTATGAGCCCTACCGTTTATCTAATTTTATTTTATTTGTTTTATAATATCGTACATTTACGTAAAACCAAGTCCGATTGAAGGCGCCCTTCTTCATGTAAGCATATAAAAATTTATTTACAATTTCTTTCATATCTTTCTCTTCCTTTCCATGTCTTTTCCTAAAAATGACGAGAAAAGAGCAATAATAAATGGTAATGCTGAGGATGATCCCTTGTTTATTAGTATGAAGAATATGTAAACATAAGATTTATGTAGCATTTGTAAGAAAGAATACTCATACAAATGAAATATCTTCATTTTTATTTAAGCACATCCCACATCGGAAAAGCTGTAAAAAAGGCGATACTCTCAGTTAACTCCACAATAACAAATATATGGTCACCGGAGGAGAACCATGATAAGACGATGAGATCCAGAGTGTTTCGATCAATTTGAAATTATTGAATGAATAACCTCACCTTTAATCTACGGAAATGATATATCAATAAACTACGCAGGTGGATCAACAATACAAATGGCTGATTCTTTGGGCTCCGAAGGCTTCTCACAATTTGGCTGATTTGCCAGGTTATAAAACCCTTATTGTACAATTTTGACATGTCCGATCCTAGCCTTTGGAGTTGGATACCGAACATTGACTAAAGTCGAAGTATAAGTATTTTTAATCCCGAAACGGAAGATCCGTTATATACGGAGTAAAGTTTATATACGAAGGAATAATGATGAAGGCGAAGAATAACGTTGGAGGATAAGGTAACTAAGCATCTTTAAATAAGTGTTTCTGGCCGAGGAATTGGCTAGAATAAGTAAGAACGTCCTACAAAATTAATTTCACTAAAAAAAAAAATATTATGAAAAGGGCGTGTATGCAGACTAAAGTTGTGATAGAAAGATTGCGTTTTTCGTCATTTCAGTTACCTGGTTGTTGTAGAGTCTTCCTTGTTGATGGATTAGAATAAAGACTACCGATAAAAGGTTATTGTAGTTAATCCTCAATAAAAGAATTATATTGAGGTTTCGACTCAGAGATGGATTGTACAACCGAAAAAAAGAATATGCAACATATTTCCTTACATGAATAGTGCTTAATAATGGAAGATACCCAGTCTCCACGTAGAACCACATAGCAGTGTCACATAAGTAATTAAATTGAATAGTGGCGAAATAATTTATTAATTAAAATAATGAGTTAAAATGAAATAACTCATCTCAAAAATATTAATACACATGTAAAATATCCACACCTAACCTACGGAATTCAGAACTAAAATGCGCCTCCTCCCAATAGCGGATTCAGGATTTAATTTTGGGGGGGAGGGCTTCAGCCCGAAAGCTTTTTTTTCATAAAAATGACGATAATTACTTTGGAAAACAAGAAAGAAACTAACTATCTATATGAAATGGTGTTTAAGTGATTCCTTAAGTCTTTTTAAATGTAATTACACAAACTATAATACTTTACGAGATAATTTTTAAATATTTTTTTCCATAAAACATGGTTATATTTTACCATTTTGGGAGGGGCTTCAGCCCGAAAGCCCCCCCCCCGTAGATCCGCCCGTGCCTCCTCCTGGTTAGAAGGCAGACAAAAAATATGATAGAAGTAAATATGAGTCAAGGGGCAATGACGCATGCCTACTTTATCAAAAATGAAAACATATTAGACTTATTCCTACTGCAAAACAAACGTTCTTCCATAATCTAAATGAAATAATTTAATTTATGGTACATTTGATGAAAACATAATATTTTCAAGTGTTATTTTAATAAAAAAATATATCTTAATTTCAGGCGATGATTGTTCCTGCTCTGATTGTGAACCGCCATCCAAAGGACGTAAGAAGAAGGCTGCACCAAAACGAAAAACAAATAAATCGAAAGGGGGCTGTCCCTGTTAGAGAAGAAGATTTTATATTTTAAGTGTTATGCATGTTATGAATTTAAAAAAAAAATAAATTTATGTATTTTATATTTATATACCCCAGGGGAATAAAATAAGGAGGGAATGAGTTTATATTTTAAGTTTGTTGTTCGGCAATTTAGCCAAGGCTCAAATCGTTTATCTGCACTATGTATTTACAATTGTGTGTTAATATAATAAATAAGATAAAAAAATTAATTGTATAACTAAGAAACGATATGCAATTTAAAAAAAAAAAAGCCATGAGAGCGATTTTAAAAATTTGATATGCTAATAATGCAATTTTAGAAATAAAGATATGTTATGATTTGATTATTTATCTAATTAATTGTGGAGGACTATATGTAATGTAATAACATACCTGAAAATTCCTTCATTCCATTGCTTCTTCCATCCACTCTAGATATCAGAAGACCTTTCGTCTAACGGAATTCATACATCCATCTTTTTAAAAGTCTAGTCTGTTGTATCTTGCCCAATGGTCTTAATTTTGTGATTTTTTCGATTAACGATCTGGTGATATCGATAAAACAAGATCAACATTCGTAATCATATTGTTTCATGACTCCAAAATATATTTCTCTTTACTCCAACTATTATGAAAATCAATCATATATTATGCCCTAAATACTCCCAAAATCCACTTCAAAGGCGTGATGTTTCGGATTATATCACTTTCCTCATTTCAACTTTTGATGTTAAAAAAAAGTTAATTAAATGATGTATATATTTTTATATTGCTAATAGAATATATATCTTAATAAAATTTGGTAATATTCAGAAGGCTGTACTCATACTAATCTGTATTCCATAATTTATGTTAAAATAATAGCAAAAGAAGACTGTTCTTCTTAGGGCCAATCTATAATTAACCGTTATATTTGATCCCTAGGTTCAAATAAAACTACTCTGAATTGAAAAAAATTCACTTTTATTCCAACAAAAAACTTTCCTTCAGCTGTTTCAGTCCTGGATTTGGTCACATCTGCTAAATATTCGACGGTCTAAAGAACAGTTGAGGTCGATATTTGAATCACTATTTGATCATTTAGTTCTCGAAGTTCTAGATCGATGAACATATTAGCGCTTGTCGAATCCAATTAAATTAAAGATCTAGATAGATAATAAACAAGATCAATATGTTCACTTTTCCTGTGTTCAGGAGTGTAGTTGAAGCCTTGTAGAAAAACTGCATAGCGAAGAAATCTAGCACTTGTCATAGAGAGTTCTCCAAGTTAAAAGACAAGGGTAACAGTTTCTCGTTAAAGTTGGCTATAGTTATTTTCGCCATTATTCAACTCTCAGTTAGCGAAGGTAACCTCTCATTTCCGTCGATTTCATGAGCCAGCAAGCATAAAGTAAAGATTGATGGTATGAATTCAATATAATGAGCAGTTCTATAAATTTATCAGCATTCATTGTATATTTAGGTATCAAACTCGTTTTACTTACCGAGTTTATCCTCGTCACCAATCTGTTGTGTCTTATATTACTGGTAAGATTTGTTCAAGAATTACAGTATGATACGTAATGATATCTGGGTTACTAACAGTGCCGGGTTTATACATTCGGAGCCCCACGGACAATGGCGTCATCCCTCCCCCTAAAAAAATCAAATTTATTTCTTACACTTATTTCTTACACTTTGTGAAGCATTTGAATTTTATTGCATGTAACATATCTCTAATACAGTTGTTTTATTGTTAGCTAACCTCCCCTAAAAATAACTATTTTAATACGTTTTGTAACTTTTTTTAAATTTATTAGAAGGCGAGGGGCCCTTAAGATTGGTCAGCGCCCCAAGCAACAATTGGTTACTAACATTGTTTATTCTTCAAAAACACAAACAAAAACAAGGATAAGTCATTATAATAAAAAAATATATGTTGATATCCAAATCGCTACAAATTGGTAGATAAACATATAAGAATATACCAATATTTCAAGATTTTTTTTAGAAAAAAATGAATAAGATGTATAAAATTTTAGATAAGATGGCTTCAAAACTCACCAGACAATATTAAGACATGATAATAGAAGCGACAATTGGTCAATCAAAAATGGATGTGTACTACTAACTGATGAATCAAAAATAGCTTCCTACTTCTGAAAGCAGAACGCACATACCAGTAAATTCAAACCCAACTGGAATTTTCAGAACTTGAAGAGGCTCTGCCTGCAGCGCATAAGATATAAAAATCTATTCCAGACGATATAATGTCTGAATTTCTTATTAATTTTCGGAATAAAATAAAATAAACAATTCTGATGTCCTTCAAGTATATAATACTTAGATAGCATCAAGCCCACTTCAGATGTCAGGCTGGAAACCTCCCTACAAAATGTAATACCGCACGGTCATGGTCATGGCAAAGATGTGTGAAGTTATTGTTACAAAACAAATCATAGTTATTTTGTTAAGCATTCTTATAAAGTTCTTATATATAACAAAATAAGAGCCAAGTAGAAAAAAATCACCAACTTTGTTCTCGTAATTCTTAGTGTTTAAATCGATTAATTCATTGGAACGTATCATTTCGGAACTGTACTGTTTGGTATTTACAATTAGATGTCAAAACAACTTTTCACCTTTGGGATTGTATTATGTCTTTTTTGAGGGGTTCAACGAATTATGTGTGGTGTACAACTAGTGTTTTGGGTAAAGGAGCAACAGGGGCGGTTTATCAAGGAGTTAACAAACATAATGGTGAACCTGTAGCTGTTAAAACGTTTAATCAACTTAGCCACATGAGACCCCATGATGTACAAATTCGAGAGTTTGAAGTTTTAAAGAAAGTGAAACATGAAAATATCGTAAAGTTACTGGCTATAGAAGAAGAACAGGATGGAAGGGGTAAGGTAATTGTTATGGAACTTTGTACAGGAGGAAGCCTTTTCAATATTTTAGATGATCCTGAAAATACTTACGGTTTACAAGAAGATGAATTTTTACTAGTACTTGAACATTTATCTGCTGGTATGAAACATTTACGTGATAACAACCTTGTTCATAGAGACTTGAAACCAGGAAACATTATGAAGTTTATTTCTGATGATGGCAGCACAGTGTATAAATTAACTGACTTTGGTGCTGCTCGTGAGCTTGAAGAAGACCAACAGTTTATGTCATTGTATGGCACTGAAGAATATCTCCATCCCGATATGTATGAACGGGCTGTTCTTAGGAAACCTGTAGGAAAAAAGTTTGGTGCAACGGTTGATCTCTGGTCCATAGGTGTTACATTGTATCATGTAGCAACTGGTAATCTTCCTTTTCGACCTTATGGAGGGCGAAGAAATAAAGAGACAATGTATTATATCACTACGAAGAAAGCTTCTGGCGTTATATCGGGCACTCAGTCATCTGAAAATGGACCCATTGATTGGTGCAGATCTCTTCCCAAAGGCTGTCAATTAAGTTTTGGGTTGAAAAAATACATAACACCTTTGTTAGCTGGACTTCTTGAAGTGGATACACAAAAAATATGGAGTTTTGAAAAATTTTTTACTGAAGTAACCAATATTTTATCTCGAAAAAGAATACATGTTTTTCATATTCATAAGATGCAAAATATCAAAATATACTTTGACCCAGGTGAAAAAATTTTAGATTTCAAAGAACAAATTTGTGAACAAACTGAAGTATTACCAGCCAATCAAATACTTTTATATGACAATAAACATTTATGTGATGTGATAACCGAAGAAACGCTGGGGATCGATTACCCTTGTACTTCAGATGAGGTCCCTATTATATTATTTAGCAATGAAAATAATAATGTTGTGATAGCAATAGACAATGACCTTCCTAAACTACCAACTTTTCCTAATTCCCCAAATGTAGAAAATGATGCCTCCATTGCTAAAAATATATGTAGTATTTCTCATGCTTGTAGAAGAAGGATAGATAAATTGTCATTGTGCAGTAAGCTAACAAATGACAGTGTTAGTATGTTTACATATATTGTTAAGCAGGAGCTTTTGCAAGTTTTTTTAAAAAGCAATAGATTGTTAGAGTTGGCCAGATATGTTGAAAAAACGACAGATATTGTGATGAGAAGCCAGCAAATCATTCATAATCTTCTTGGTATAAAATCTTCAAACTCAGTTGACTGGAAGGTGTGGTTTAGTATGTTCATCCTTTTATTCCATTTTCTGCCTTATACTTATTTATAATTTATTTATTTACCACATCAGCATAGTTACTTAAAATTCTATCATATCCTACTTATTGAAAAGGAAATATATAGAATCTACTTCAGATTGTACTCCAATAATTTAATATGAAATAATTCAAAATAAACCTGAAAAATGCTTTGCTATTGATCAGTGTGAGTTGTTTTTTTTTCTGTCCTCACCTTTAAAGCTATACAGGGTTTCCCGGGACAGATGATGAGTGTGGGGAATTAATGCCTTAGTTAAGCCCCCTCAGCACCAGGACATCAACTCCTAATTATTTTATCCAGTTATCTTTCATCTCATTGCCCGGCAACGCGTTGCTGTGCACACACGTTAGCCCACTCGGCCCACCTCACCCAAAAGATTAAGACGAACCCAGTCTAACACTTTAACCACCAGTGAGCTATTATAATAAATTTGAGCAGCATAATTAAAGACCTATTTATCTTTTTAAAGAGTAAATCTTAATTGTTAATCTAGCTGACTGATAACTTCAATTTTTCTTCTAATGTTCTTAATTAATTAATTTGCTTAATTTTTACAAACTGTTTCTGCTCAGTTTAATGCAATCATTGACCTGGCCAAAACACGGCTGTATCTCAGGTCATCTCATAACTGCTAAAGTGTTTAGTTCCACTTATGTTCGTCTGTAAGCTGGATCAGCTTACAGACTCAATGCTTGTCTTCTTGGTTCCTACTCAACTGCTTCACTTGAGCACTACCAAATTTAAAACTGAGAGTTACCAGTTGCTAATTATTATTCATAGGTGGTCAATATTCGCCCATTTTATTCAGATGTTGTCTTTATCTTCATAAAATATCTTATCAAGATATTTTATGAAGATAAAGGATTGAGAGGTTTTTTTTTTCTAAGCAACAGTATTTTTACAGATGTTAATATATTACAGCTCTCCGCCTCATGTTAGTATATTACTAAGACTCTGCAGCTTTATGCTTGGCTGCCATTTTTTTTTTTAAATATGATGAGGGATTAGTAAAAAATGACGAGATGGGTGCATGAACATGTTTGCCTATAAGTTAAGAAAATTTCTGGGTAGTCAATTTGCTCTTTGCAAGCAAGCGCTTTCCAATTGTTCTGAAATTTGAGAAAAAAAAATTATACAAACATTTTTTTTTACAGTTCTTATTATTGAGATTGCTTGTTATGCCGTTTTTTCTTAAGTATTGTTGGTGTTTTTTTTTCAAAACATGTGGTGGTTTGTTTTATTCATATTTTTTAAATCATTACACAAATGTTATGGGTTATTAGTATTATTATATTAACTATTATGAATCTTGGGGCACAATAACTGTGCAAGCAGTGTAGAACATTAATAAAAGGTATCTATAATGATACGTTTTTTGTATTTGTTTACTAGACTAAACAATTTATAAATATTACTTTCATTGTTAATGAATTATTTTTGTGATTCCAGGCAGAGCTAGAAGGTGGAATAAATCAGGAACTAGTTAGTGGATTAAACATTGCCATTAAGCAGCTTCATTCTAGGTTTTATACCCAAGATACTCTTAGTAAAGAGTGGGAAAAAAATTCTGCTGGTTGCCGTTGCTGCTGGAAAAGTAAGGCCCCTCAACGAGCTAATACTTGTGTTCAAAGGCTAAGGGACTCATGGCAACACATGATTCGAGATAGAGCTACAAGAAGTTTGACTTATAATGATGAACAGTTCCATGTTTTAGAAAGAATGAAGGTAATGAAAGATCATACTATAATACAAGTAATATTTACATTCAGAAATCCATTTTGTACATAAAAAATTAAATACATGGTACATTTCCACCCAGAAAAAGTGTTTGGTGCAGTAAATAATTAGCAGCAGTATTAGTATCCTAGATAACTATGTACATATACTTATCCTATATTAGTCCAATATTAACTCTGGTCTCCCTTCGAAGCAAATAAATCTTTAGCCTTTTATCCTCATTTCTGTCCTTTTTTAACCTAATTGTTCTATTAAGACTTCCATCCCACATCTCTGTATTCTAATCTTTAATTTTCGAATTTCATCAATCCTCTTAAGCAATGCTTGCCTGGAAGCCTAAATAATGCAACAGTCAATTGCCAACATAATGAGTGATTTACCTCCGATAGATCCATGACTGTTTGTGGCATTTTTAACTAAAATATATATATGACATGCACATTCTAACTTAAATCAGATCATTTGATCATAGAGTCTATTAAGATTTAGGAATTTTCAACAACCATTTTCACAAGTTGGATGCCCTCCTATGGAGTAATACATCCGTGTTCAAGCCTGTTGTTATGTTATGTTATTATGATCTCATCAATTCTCAATTTGTTCATGTTTTTTTCCTTATGCTGTATAACTTAACTAAAACATACCATATTTCATTGATTTTTAACAAATTTTCCTTATTTTTCTCAATTGATTTTTTCGACTTTCTTTTCTTTTTTTCATATGGTTTGGAATGATTTATATATTAAATTAAATATATTAGTTTCTCTAAACAAGCTTTTAATCCAACAGTCACCTTTCTGTTATGTGAATATAAAATAAATTAAATAGTTCTATAATTCTTTTTTTTTTGTTTTCTTGCAGATGGATGTAATGGGAACTAATTTGATTAAGAATTTATTAGAGCAAGAAGTTGTTCTATCAATTATTCAAACGGCAGACTGCCTAGCAGATTGGTATAAAATGGCTCAAACTATTTATTTACAGGGAAAAATTTTAGATAAAGATGTTGACAATTCAAAAAAAAGTTTAGAAAAATTTTTTTTACGCATGGAAGAAAGTGACAAAATTTTTTATGATGAAGGTAACAATATTGGTATAACACGTCCCTTAGTGCAACATGAAGGGCGGATCATTAGAGGACAAGATGTTAGGTCATTCAAAACCAAAATTTGTGAAATTCATTGTGCTCAAGAAGAAATAGACTCATTAATAAAAGAAAATTCGCAAATAATAGATATGTTTCAAAGTATTGCTGATAAAATAAGCCATTAATTGTAAATATTTCTATTTCAAGACTTTTATAATTGTTATTTAAAGAATCACATATTTATAGTTTAAAGAGAGAATTATATATTTTTTTATGATTACTTTTTTATTTCTTGAAATGATCATGTTTTATAATGCAATAACATAAAAAAGTAATTTTTTTAGAAAAATTAAGTACAAATATTGTGAAATAATTGTAGAATATTTCAATTTTATTATAGGCTTAAGAAGGATGATGATTATAGATTATTTGGTAAAGGTGAAGGAATTTACCTTAAGCATATTGCCTGTCTATAGAAGGAGGAGAAGAGCCACCTTAAAACAGTGCAGTATTAGTAGTAAGAACATTTTACGGTACCATTGACAAAGCTAATTCATAATTCATCTTAGTCGGTTTCCAAGAGGCTGAAATATATATCCCAGCCGTAGTGAATGAATGAAAATAGTTTTATTATCAGAGCTCATAACATAGATCAGATAGCCCCTGATTGTTTTTCCATCTCCATTTATTATTCTTATACACTTCACTGTCAATTTGATGCAACGATTTCCGTTCTAATGTAAGAAGTTGTTCCTTGACTCAGGTTGTGGTCTATGCCACCAAGCCATAACATAAAAGAAGAGTCTAATAAATGATAAGTTAAGAGTTAAGTTCAGCCTTATTATCGAATTGCTGAAGAGATATTCTGGAGTCTATAATAGCACCCAATATTCTTGGTCAATATGGGAGAATATTGATATAAGGTGGCTCTTCTCCGCCTTCCATAGACAGGAAATATTCCCGAGGTAAATTCCTTTACCTTTACCAAATAATCTTTAATCAGTGTCCTTCCTAAGCCTATATATAATATCCTCCAATTCAAGTCCTCTACCCACTCCATTACCACAAGATCTCGACCCTTTGACTTTACACCCTTTTCACAGATCTGCCTCACTTAAAAACTACTTTGTTGCCCCATCCACCATATTAGGCTCGATGATAACTAGGGAAGACTATATAAAAGAGGAAGTTAAGACTGGAAGTGGTAGTTATTTTTCACCTCCTATCCCAAAATTTAAAAATTAACAAAACAATTATACTTGTTATCGTTATTTCCGAAATGAAACATGAACACTTACATTAAAGAATGAACAAATCCTTAGTTTTTTTTAAAATAAAGTATTGTGCAAAATATTTGGACTGAAGGGGGACGAGTTTACGCAGAATTGAGACTGTATCACAACACCGAATCGCATGATTTGTACCCAGTAAATATAATTGAGAAGAGAGATTTGCGACTATCTAATCCACCAATGTCTAAAAGATTAATGTGCAAAGGGCCTACTGGTAAGCTTCCGAGGGATAGACCGAAGCAAAGGTGGGAGGATTGCATTAAGGCTGATCTTACGGAGTTAGATTTTCGACGGTGCTTGGTGGATGGGATTATGTAGACAGCGATTGGTGTCATCCGTATTGAAGCCTCGAGTTCACTAAGTCTTTATTATTATATTCATCTCTCTTTCTGCATTTAAACATGGGTGTGGGTAATAGAGTATTAGTAGATTTGGGATGAAGTAGGGGGCGGGGGAGGTTGCCAGGCAAAAACTCCGAAACCCCACGTGACGGCCCTGCTTGTTGGTATGGGTAGGATATGGTGGAAGTGAAAGATTTAAAACTGATCATTATGAGATTTGAGCCATATGGTGATTCCATAAGATTTTTTTGTCAATGATGAAGCCAAGTTTTAAACTGAAGAACAAAAAGTGATAAGATAGTCAATAAGAGACTGTTATTGCCGAGTGTGTTAAAGCGACCCTTTAACATTCTCAAGTATAGCAGTGCCAGTTCGAATCCTTCCTGGGTTAATATTGTAGTGAACCCATAGATTGAATCTTGGTCTTTCCACTCTCGTTAGAATGGGTTTGGTTGTACATCTTGAACAACACCTCATCCCGCGGTATGCCAAGGGTGAAAGAAAAAAAAAAGATGGTCATTTAGGTAAAATTCGAGTTCTAAGTCAGAATAAGGTCCGAGATTGTATTAGATCTAATAAGAGGTATGGAACCAATGCTAATTATAATTGCTGGATTGTCTAAGAGCCGAATTTTTGGTGACTTATTTGAAGAAAACTATTAGTCATACATCATAATGCCCATCTTGAACTTTCAATTTGCGCTAGTCTACCAGCTCCAAGCGGGGACATATTAAAGAGGCGCTCATTGACTGGGGGACACAAATTCTTAAAAATTGCATTATTTGGTGAATTGTTTATATTAAATTTGAAACTATACCTCCTCTAGATGTTAAAAGAACGTTTGCCAAATTTGTGAGAGGACGTCGTCTCAGAAGACGTAATTCAAAATCCACGTTTTTTCATCGGATAGTGAATTTTTGCAAATATCAAGGAAACACCTGTTCTCTACAAAGATAATTATAAACTACTTTGTAGTGCATTCTATTAGTTTAAACTGGAGCCCTGACAGAGCTATTTACGTTCAATAGTTCCTAAGAAACGGTCTTTAAAAAAAGAACATGTTTTTTTTAAAAAAAAAGGATATAAAATATCAAGCAAATAGCTATTATTAAACGAAGATAGTTATTACCAACTGTTGTTGATGTTTGCTAAGATAATATTTAAAAAATGGTGATTTATTCTGTTTTTTGATAGACTGTTTCTCAGGAAATACTGTTATATTGAAGCACAACAGACCACAGGCGAATCTGCGGGCTGAAGCTCTCCTCCCCTCAAAAAATGTTAAAATATAACCATGTCTTATGGAAAAAATATTTTTAAAATTATTTCTAAAAATGTTATTAGTTGTGTATTTACATTTAATAGGACTTCAAGAATCACTGATACACCATTTCATATAGTTTCTTTTTCTTCCAAAGTAATTATCGTCCGGCATTAAAAGCTGATGTCCTTCCCTCTCCTTCCTCCCCCGAAAATTAAATTCTGGGTCCGTTTGTGCAATAGACTATTCAACATATTTGAGTTCCAAATGGCAATTTTCGTAATCTTTACATTAACGGTCGCAGGTAGCAAGTCTAAGCAGGATGACTTGTGTATTTTCATTCAAGAAGTGGTCTAGTATTTTTTAAAAGTATAAATTAATCTTCTTCATATAATTATTTTTTTGTTTTTTTAAAAAATAGAACTTTGGGGGATCCACTACGTTTTAACGTAGCATAATTCGACTGAGACTCATTTTTTAAATTAAATGTTATAAAAGATTCAAAAGTTGCTTTCAAAGTTTTCTTCAAATAATGAACTTTTTTTTTGCACCGACCCTCAGACCGCATTCGAAGTACGGCCGTCCGGGAATGTGTCCCCTTTCCCCCCAATAGTTTCGGTCCTAATCAATGCTTAATATGTGAGCCCTCACCAATACAGCAGTGTTCAAGTCAAGGCAATGTAACATAAACGTTTATTTGTATGATTATTAGGTGACAAAACAATTATTGCTTTATTATTTTAAAATAAGTGGACATAATTTGTAGATTACGGTTGCTTAGTTGGTATGTTTTCTTTTATAATTACGAATTTCATTTGATCAAAAATTCAATTTTACTAAAATTGTCGCTCCAAACAAGTGCCTGTGGTGCGATTTGGACAGATCGAAATTAGAGATGGGTCCGTGGGACTTCCTAAAATGTAATTAATTTCAGTGTATGCTCTCTCAATATTATCAGTTATCAGTGTTATCACTTAATTAAAATTGTATTTGTTAATTGACGTTTTATTATGTCTATTTGAAAACGTTTTAATAATATGAAGTATATTTTGCCTGCTACTGAAGACAATCGTAAATTTACCATTATGGAATTTCCTCGTTCTATTTGGAGGCAGGTATTAACTTTACCTTACTTACTTACTATGCAGCTCTACAGCCCGGGGTGGGCTTTGCCTTCCTGGATCATATCATGCCAATCATCTCTATTCTTAGCCCTTTTCTTCAACTTTCTTACACACAGTGTTTTAAAGTTGCTCTCAACATCTTGCAGCCATATTTTCCTTTGTATTCCTTTTCTTCTTGTGCCGTACATTGTAGAGAACAATGCCCTATAAGGCGTCCTGCTATTGTCCATTCTAACCACGTGGCCTAACCATTCTATGCGCCTAGTTTTAACAAAATGAACTACGTTACCGCTATTACATAGTTCATATAGCTCAGATTTTTTTGGATTCCTCCACATACTCTCTTCACTAACAGCTCCATAAATTCTTCTCAATACTTTTCTTTCAAAAACATTCAGCATACTAATTGTGCTTGTTCAAAGGGTCCATGTCTCCGCTTCATAAGTCACAATAGGTCTATAATCTTGCACTAAAGTATATAATCTTATCTTTGTTTCTCGTGACAGGAGCGATGATCGAAAACATTTTAGATTGGCATTGTATGCCCGGTTTCCAGCCATGATCCTCTTGCCTACCTAAGCATCAATGTTATTTTTCAAGAATTGAAAATAATGTTATTTCTGTTATTTTGGAAGAACTCACTTTCACCCCCATGTACGTGAATATTTCTCTGAGGACCAGTCTCATTGTTGGCCCCGACATACATGTATTTTATCTTATATTGGTTAATTTCCAGCCCAACAATTTCACTTACAGCTTTCAATATTGCAAATATTTCCTTTGTTAACCTCAAACTCTTGATAATTAGGCATACATCATCTGCATAAGCACATATTCGCACCATTGCGTTAAGTTTACAACCAGGTGAATCCAGTTTTTTCAAAACATTATTAAGCAATATTAAATAATGTGGCAGACAAAGCATCCCCTTGTCATTAAAAAGTTATTGCTTACATTGCCTTTAATAATTACTTTTGCATTGCTATTATTCATAGTCATTTGCAATAACCTTATTAATTTTTTTTTTTGGAATTGGGACTCATGTAATGCATTTATTAACTTGCGTCTTATCACTCTATCGAAAGCTTGCCGGTAATCTATGAACAACATATGCAGGTCAATCTCATACTTCCATGCTTTTTGCATTATCTATCTCATCACAAAAACCTGATCAGTTCTTCCTATCCCCTTCCTTAATCCACACTGGCATTTCTCCAGTATGTTCTCAGCAAATACGTTGAGCCTCACAGAGAGAGAATATT